AGACACCATGTCCGCAAACGACACCATGTCTGCAAAAGATTAAACCGCCAAATCTAAAATATGAATTCAGGACCTCAAAACAAACAAACATTTTCCTCTGGATATATGTTCGTCAACGCTTCGTTCAAGAGATATTTACTTTCTGAAGTTACAGAACTATAAGAATGAATAATGTCGAAATAAAGTCTAGACTTATTTCTGGAATTACAGAACTGTAAGAATATGAATAATGTCGAAATAAGGTCTGATAATTATCTGGATTATGGGACACCGCGCCGATGACCTTGACCTTGACATATGTTGTCAAGGTTATGACCCTGAGTGACCTCCGACAGGTTTTAGAATACTATCATCAAATCATGTTCTTCTACATCGATGTTAGTACACTACGCGCATAAATTAAAGCATCACCTCTCACACCTTCGAAAAATGGGTAAATTTCAAAGAAGTGTAACTTCTACAAAAATGGTCGAAATGAGATTTTAAAAAAAGCATTTTGTAGCTTGAAATCTCTACTTTCCAAATCTGTATAATCAAATAACGATTCGGCTGATTTTTACGGTACTACATGATTATAAAGGAAGATCCGTAAAATCTCAAAATTTTTTGTAAACTTTGCACAGTTTCATGCCGTGAATGAGAAGTCGGGCACAAATACAATTTACAGCTTTCGAAAGCGTGATCCTTTACCTTTAATTTACTTTCCTTTTTACCTCTGTACGATTTTTTTTACCGAGTTATTCAACATCGAAGTAAAAATGGTCCCTTTGAATTTGACTGCTCATAAAAGACGAACGGAGTGACGTACAGCATTTTTTAAACAAGCAAAAAAAAGTTCAAAGTTTTCTCTTTAAGATGCTTTTATCAATTTTTAGACACAGATAAGCTTTTTATGTAAAAACTTAAGTGAAAGGTAAAGTTGAAAACTGAGACAATTACCTATTCCTATTCAACTAGATCTATTCTGATCAAAAAGAGAGAGAAACCCTATGATATTAAGGTAATTTTACACTTTAGGGTCTACTGATTTCAACGAGACTCATACAAAATAGTTGCGACATTTTAAAACTAATGTCCTTCATGTTGGAAGTTACGCCTTACACGCGCGCGCGCACACGTACACGGACACGTACACAAACACAAGAAGCATAAATCCAACTGTGCAACCTCCACGTGGTACGCTTCGGATAACGCTAATGCCAGCGTTGTGATCGCATGCTGCGATATAAGATTAAATTCAAATCAACAAATGTCGTCTTGCCCAAAGGCGTAACACAGTTACGCAAATACAGTTGACCGTTGATACCAATCTGTTGCAAATTATTGAATTGCTGCCAATCTGCTGGCATACTGTGGACATTTTATCGACCATGTTATTGATCATGTAATTTTCTTCCTAGGGCGGAAATGTGAAAAGAGAACATTTTTTTGTATGTATGTGTGTATCCGTACATACATAAATATATAAAAATTTTCACTTTTCACGTTTCCGCTCTAAAGAAAAAGTTACGTGATCGATACCCTGAACATAAACTGTAACCTAAAAATGTTTTTGAACATTACCTTACCTTTGAAAATTGGAATTGAGACCTCAAATCCTATGCTTTGAAGATAAAGCTCGCAAGCATTATTCATGACTCTGAGATCCAGGAATCTTCCCCTAATAGCACAGATCTCCAAGGGACTTTCCAAAGAAGATTCAGAGGATTCCATTCAGAGGATATCTCTATATCCTAAGAACATTCGGCAGAATGTTCCTCGAATAAAGTGTGCTATTAGGGTCTTTAAGATATGCACAATAAAACACTTCATTTAAGATCACGAAAAGATTCGCGAGTCTTCGGCGAACAGGTCTTCGCGAGTTTTGGCGCGGCAATAGAAGAATAGGAAAATCCCAGCGGAAATCTTCGAAAATAAGAGGACACGTACGAATCATCACCACCGACGAAGAAACGAAGAACCTACGCAGTGGCAATTGTAATGCAGAAAATTACCTTCCTCGGACTGCAAAACGTTGTAAAATGCATCGACACGCATTTAAAACATTTAGAATCTTTATCTGATAATGTTAACAAGTGTGCGCAATACTTAATTCAAGAAATCGAACTGAAACTGCCTGTAAGTTCTATTAATCAAGAAATTATAAAATTAACGTTGCGAGGTAATTACGAAGATATAGAACTTAATGTATTTACATACACAAATTAGCGACTTAACTTTTCTTGATATATATTTTAATATAATATTTTTGGAATTAACTTCATTAAGATATAACGAAATTTTTCATATAATTTGCTCGAAGCGAGAATCGTTCGCTTAATTTCTCTAAAACCTTTTTTAGTTTATTCTCATGTGAACCATGTATTTCCCCTATGAAAAAGAATTTGTATCAATAAGTACTGTAAAAGTATGGTAAGAGGCGGGGAAAAAGGTTAAAAGAAACCGTTGAAGAGTTATATATGAGTCAGGAGGATTGGAAGTGGCCAAATACGAGTCGTTTCTTATAGCTCGGCCATTCTGTAGTAGGTGTTCGTCTCGAACATAACTGATAATTTCTCCTCATATAAAATAAAGAACAGATCAGAGATAAATGGATTTTAAACAAAACATTTTTCTTTTTGTTTTGATACAACTCAACACTTAAAACTACAAGATAGCGGCTGTATGCGCAATACTAGCTATTTATTAACCGCGATTAAAACAAAATGTGATGCTTATATTTAATATTAAACTTAAATTCTAAATTATCTTTATCACACTGGAAATTTTATTAAGGTATCACTGGCTTTATCCATGGCTTGAGTCTATCTGGAGATACAATTGAATTGTACAGTCTAGGTGTGATGTTAAAACCAAGGATATCTTTCACAACGTATCGATTATGTGGCAATACCTTATCTATCATGTAGGGTTCTTTGAAATCCGGCTTAAATTTTTTACTCTGTCCGGGTTTGACCACGTCGTCTTTAAGGCGTTCACCCACCTTATACTTTTTTGGTGCCTTATGTCTACGATCATAATATATTTTATTATAAGCCTTAATTTTATCAGTAGCTTCAATTGCTAATCTACGATTGGTATCTCGCTCCTTTAACCAAGGAAAATCTTCGACTTCTACAGGATAAGTCTTAGCTAGCTCGGTGAAGAATTCTACTAATTTACTATTAGAATGATCTTTATGTCATATCTCAGTAACATTTTCGAAGGGGACGTCTTAACTGTGGAATGAAACGTATTATTAATAACGTATTGTATTGTTACGAGCTTGCTGGGCCACTCTGTAGTGTCTTCAACAATTTTTTTAAGGGACGACTTTAGGAATCTGTTGAGCCTTTCAACCATTCCGTTTGCTCACGGGGACGCTACGGCAATTAATCGGTGTTTAATCCCGCGGGGACGCAGAAATTCAATAAACTCCGCAGACGAGAACACAGTTCCGTGATCCGATACAATTTCATTCGGGTTACCGAAGTTATCGAATAGTGGTGAGAACCACTTGATCACTCCTCGTATTTTGATGGATTTTACCGGGAAAAGTCAAGTAAACCTTGGTCAATAAGGATATGAGTCAATAAGGAGTAAGATGTGTTTCCTTCTCGTGATTCAGGTAAAGGACCGAAATGATCGGTATGCATGATCTGAAACGGGTTTTTAGCAGTTGGGGTAGTTTGCAACTCGCCTTCTTTCCAGTTGGAAGACACGCTTGCCATTAGGCAGGTCAAACAATCTTCGATGCAGCTTTTGATTTTACTTCTCATAGACGGAAACCAATAATTAGCGCTAACATCCTGAAAGGTTTTCTCTGTACCACAATGTGCAAATTCGTCATGGTAGACGTGCAAAACTTTATGAACCATACCGTTTGAAACCACAAACTTAACCTGATCAGACTCTTTTCTGTAAACTAGTCTATCAATAAGATTATACTTATTATTGTTATGTTTTTCTAACTGCTGAGCGCGATTGTTTTTATATTCGGGTCGACTAATTGCCTAAGCTGAAGCTCCCTCTCGAGAGGCATTATCTCGGTAGACGCTACTATTCTGCTTAACGCGTCCACATGAGTCATTTTTTGTCCACTCTGATGTTCTGTGAAAAACATATAATTTTGCAATTGTAAAATCCAGCGGGCTATGCGCAGATTAATGTTTGCCTTATTTATAGCGTGAACCAACATTTATAGCGTGTTACAATCCGTAATGTCTTTAAATGGTATTCCCGCCAAGTAAATATGGAAACGTTCCGTGGCCCTTACAATGGCCAGCATCTTCAGCTCGAAAAAATGATATCTATTTTCCGCTTCGTTGGTGGTTTGGCTGAAATAAGCTACGGAGGCTAACGCGCCAGTATCCTGTCTCTGCAGGAGTATTGCGGCAATAGCGATGGAGCTTGCATCGGTACGCAATTCTGTATATAAATGAGGCTGATACATCTTCAAAACCGGATATGAGGTCAAATCAGATTTTAGTTACTCAAATGCCTCAAGGCATTTCTCGTCAAATTTGAAATCTGCGTTTTTTTCAACAGAGCATGTAAAGGTTTGGCCTTAGTGGCAAGGTCTTTAACGAATCGGCGGAAAAAATTTACGAGACCTAGGAATCGTTGTAATTCGACAAGGCTGTTTGGAACAGGAAAATGCTTAATAGCTACGTGACGCTCACTTAAAGTTATTCGTGATGGAGATATTAGGCTGGGTCCACAACCTCGCTTTAAGAAGCCCTAAGTCATAAACCTTAAGCCTTAAGTGACGTATCTCTAAGATGTTCCCGCGCAGTCTTTAGATCTTAACCGTAAGATTTAAGTGAATTGCGCAAAACCCAATTCTTACGGCTTAAAGAATAAAGTCTATGGCCTACGTATCATTTCTAGCCAATCAGCGAAAAGAAAGAGTATCAATAAGACATCGTGTGCGGACTTTCGATGGCTGTGATAGTGTGAACCTGTAAATAAATCTTATTAACTGAATAAATAAGAAATTAGTTAATAAATACGTAGTAACAATGGAAAACTCGAGCGTGATAATGTTAGAAGGCACGATGAATGAAACCGTGCAAGACGAAATTGTAGTCGCTTTAGTGAAAGAGAATCCGGTGTTGTACGACAAAAAGTTCCCGGATTATAAAAACCAGGAAGTAAAAAAGGATACCTGGAGTATGATTAAAATACAGTGTGGAATGTCATCAGGTATGTTAATGTTTGTGCATGTGCTAAAATGAGTAATTTACAATTTGTTTATCTTAACCTGTTTGTTCATTCAGCTGAAGAAGTAGAGAATAGATGGAATCAATTGCGAAATTATTTTGGAAAAAGACTAAGAGAAATAAAGGCAAAGCCAGTCAGTGGATCAGGTGGAGGAGAAAAAGCTAAAAAAGTGGAATGGTATCTCATGGGACTTATGTCATTTTTGATCCCACATATTAGTCACCGAAAGTGAGCATTTTGTTGAAAAAAATATTTTTGTCAACAAACATGTGTATTTATTACAGAAGTCGTAGTTCTATGGGAAATCAACATTTGTCTACATCATCTACGTTATTCAAGATTTCTTCCCCTGCACCACTGTCATTTGTAAGCAGCAAAGCATACATTATTGAGTCTGTACAGAACGATAGTAAATGTTGTTATTGACAGTAATACTAGCTCGGGATGTGAGAATTTCGTGCAGAACGTTAGTACAGATATTGTTATTGACAATAATACTAGCTCAGGATGTGAGAGTTCTAAGAGCTATGATTATGTTCAATCAAAGCCTGAAACTAATTCCATCCTTTTAAAAAAGAAAAAAGTGCCTGGTTTAGATGCTTTTGCAAAAAAGAAGCAAAAGAATGATAGTGATGTAGAAAACCTCTTGGCACAGTCAACCTCAGCCTTAACTAATCTTGCAACAATTGTGCATAAATCTATTTCTAAACGTAGTCCTGACAAAATAAATGAATAAAAATATAAAGCGAATCCTTTCGCTGAGAGCATTGTAGCTGCATTTGATAAAGTGCCAGTTATGAAACAAGTAGATTGTTTAATTGCTATATTGAATATAATGAAAAATTATCAAGCTGATTGAACGCAGTATTACATTGTTCCTATGTTTGTTACTTGTGCTTCCGTTTATTTTATATTTTGTTTATTTAATTCTAATTATATATTTTATTTAATCTTAGTATTGAAAAAAATTATTTTTTTCTTTTATTATAAATATATATATTAAATGCTGCATTTAGCTGAATGTAGCTAATGTTTATTAATATAACGAAATAATCCAAACCATTACATGAGTAAATATTTATTAATATGAGTAAATATTTATTAATATATTTTTTAATTAAATATGTTTGTTTTATTTGCAACAACACGTGTAATAAAAAATTTTTTAAGTTAAGGTTTGATACACAGTACAAAAATAAATACATATGTTTATTGTAACTAAATAGATCCTAAAGTCACTAAATGTATAAAAAATTATTTTTTTAACTTAAGGTTACAAGATGTACAAATAAATACATATTTCTTATAAATGTAATTAAATGTATTTATCACAATTTTAAGAGAGAAAGAGACAGGGAGAGAGAGAAATTATATCTGTAAGTTAAAATTTATTATACATGAATCAAATATGTAATTACTATAATAATAATAATGATAATAATGATGATTACTATAATAATAATGATAATAATAATAATAATGATACTATAATGATAATAATGATGATGATTACTATAATAATAATAATAATAATTACTATAATAATAATAATGTGCAAATTCGCATGGAAGTACATTATACTACGCTCAAGTATATACATGTTTAAGGGACGTTAATATTACCATGCGACCACTAAAAACAATCGTTCTTTGCCAAGGAACTTGACCCTGTTCGTGGTTGACAAGATAATCGGCAAGTTCTTAAATTAATTAACTTTCTTAAATTAACAGATGCAGCAGCTGCACGATTCGAACCTATTCTATGCAAGTTCTGGATATTAGGTGCTATAGCACCTCTCCTTCATTCTTCTAGGATCGTAATTCCATTTTCATCCTCTTGATTAACATACACAGGAGGACAATATTTCTTAAACCTTTGTTGATGTTCTTCCCTTTTCATAAAATTATGTAAGGTTACTGTTGCATATATAATATTTTCAACACAATGTGGAAGTTGGGCTAATGAAGTCTGAAGGATACGCCATCTGAAACATAAAGGTGTTGACAATGACACTTTCCGGATAAAATTAATGTGATATTTTATTCCCTATATACCGTACCTTGTTGATAAAATTCCAAAAGCATTTTCTATAATTCGCCGAGCTCGAGAAAGTCTATAGTTAAAAATACACTGTGTCTCAGTTAATGGATTTCGTCTAGAATATGGACGCATCAAATTGTGACGTAGAGGAAATATCTCATCACCTACAAGAAAGTAAGGCATCATGATATTTGTGCCAGGCAAAGGAGATGGTGGGAGTACATTCAGTGTGTCATTTTCCACAGCTTGACCAAATTCTATAGCACTGAACACTGCTATCAGGAAGCGATCCTGCAATACAGATACATAAAATGTATACGTAACATTTTGTATTTATCTTATCTATTCATGCATCAACTCACCATAATCTCCAACATGAATTGATGTAAAACAATAATTTGCATCACATGTTGCCATTAAAACTATACTAAAATATTGTTTGTAATTAAAAAATTGAGATCCAGTTTTTACTGGACATTGAATTCTTATATGCTTGTCATCAAGCGCTCCGCAATTGGGCAAATTCCATCGCTGCTAAAATTTATCAGCAATTTCTCTGTATTCTTGCTGAGTTGGGGGCGAGAGATAAGTACCTATAGTATTAGGAATAGCATGACAAGTTTCTTGTACAATATCATAGGCAGTAGACTTTCCAATTTGCCAATAATTAGCCATGGAAGGCAAGCTGTTTACTGAGGCTAGATAGCTGAAATAGACAACCATTTATAAGAGATTTTTCTATAACAATGGATCTAAAAAAGATTACTTAATAATGGAATATAGCTTACCAAATAGTGAATGCTAGGCGAAATTCAGAGGTTAGAAATTCTCTGTAGTTGGCCTTTTGTAGATATGGACTAATTATTTCTAATAATTCATTAAATATATCGACTGTCATCCTTGTCAAGTTGAAAAATTT